TTCAAAAATGAATCTTCAGGTTGCATTGCCACAGGTTGAGTTGAAATACTCTGTGTCCTATGTAGCTAGAAAGAGATCTTTCAAAGGTCATTTTGGCCCTCTGGAGTTAGACCCCAACTTTTTTGCCAAGTGACAATACAAAAAGTTTATTTAGCCTTAAAAGACATTACATTTAGGATGACTTCTCTTAACAAGTTCATTTTGGGGCTGAGGTTGTGGCTCAGCGGTAGAGCACTTGCCAGCATGTGTGAGGCCCTGGGTTTGATCCTCAGCACCACAAATAAATAAATAAGTAAATAAATAAATAAAGCATACCTGTTTTTTTTTTTTTTTTTTCTGGAAAGTCTAAACTTCTCATTTAAAAAAAAAAGACTTCATGGAATTTTTCATTCTTGTTTGGTGCTGGGAAAATTGATGTAATATTTTAAAAGCATGTGAAGTTTTAAATTCAGGATTAATTGCTAAAATTTGTTAAGAGTCAAGAAATTGTTATGTAAGAGTATTTTTTTAAAATATGCTTTTAGTTGTCAATGGATCTTTATTTTTTAATTTAATTATATGTGGTGCTGAGAGTTGAACCCAGTGCCTTACACATGCTAAGCAAGCATTCTACCACCAAGTCACAATCCCAGCCCCATGCCTGTTGAATTTTGAAGCAAACAATGGGACAGAAGTTTTTATAAGCATATATTACTAAATTTTACTTTTGACTATTTCACAAAATCATTTAGCAAATTTACTTTGCAGATTGGGCTGTATTTTATATTGTTGCTGTAACAAATTATTACAAATTTAGTTGGCTATTAAAATAACACAGACATTTTTTTTTTTTAAACAGTTCTGGAGGTCAGAAATCCTACATGGGTCTTATTAGGCATTTTCCTTCCGAATTCAGGCTCCAAGGGAGAAGAATTTCCTTGCTTTTTCCAGCAGAGGTTAAGAACCTGAGTACTTTCTCTCTTCTCTCTTTTCCCTTACTTATTGTTTGGGTACTGCCAAACCCCAGGGATGCTCTACCACTGAGTCACATCCCCAGCCCTTTTTCTTTTTATTTTGAGACAGGGTCTTGCTAAGTTGCCTTAGGCTGCCCTTGAACTTTAAGATACTCCTACCTCAGGTTCCCCAATAAAAACATTCCTTTTCTCCTGGTCTCTATCTTCAGTGCCAGCAACCTAATATCTCTCTGACTCTGACTATGCTTCTCAGGCTACCTCTTTCGTGAATAAGGATCCTTGTGATTATATTGGACCCAACAAGATAACCCAGAGTAATTGTTCCATTTCAAAATTAGTTGATAGGCAATGTTAATTCAGTCTGCAATGGAAAGTCTTTCCTTGATAGGTAATATAATATTTTCACATATTTTGGGATATAGGATGCAGTCATTTTTTTCTTTTTTTTGTGGGGGGTGGGTGTGGTACTGTGGATTGAACTCAGGGCACTGGACCGCTGAGCCACATCCCCACACAGCCCTATTTTGTATTTTATTTAGAGACAGAGTCTCACTGAGTTGCTTAGTGCCTTGCTTTTCCTGAGGCTGGCTTTGAACTTGAGATCCTCCTGGCCTCAGCCTCTAGAGCGGCTGGGATTATAGGTATGTGCCACCATACTTGGCTTCATTTGACCCTTCTAAAGTAAATTTTGTTTTCAGAATTCATTCTTTCTAGACTTTGCACAGTGCTGAAAAATAGATGAGTAGCTTAACTCTTAATTTGTTCTATGATTTTTTTTCTAAGGGGCAGAAGAAATTTATTTTTATTATTCTATATATCTTTCATTTTACATCAGCATTCATGATTTTTAATAATCAACAGCAAATTAAAATTGTGGCCCTTGGATTTACACACTTTCAAAATAAAGGATTTAAAAAATATTATAAGGGCTGGGGTTGTGGCTCAGAGGTAGAACATTTGTCTAGCATGTGTGAGGCACTGGGTTCAATTCTCAGCACCACATAAAAATAAAATAAAGAGATTGTGTCCACCTAAAACTAAAAAAATAAATATTTAAAAAATATTATAACAAGTTAGTATTGAAGGAAAATATTTAAATTACATGTATGCAAGTTTTTTTTTTATGAAAGAGAAGGATTCACCTAAATTATAAAGAACTATACAATAAATTATCAAATTGGATCTTAACAACAACCCACAAAAATCTATTTGAAATTCATTCATTTGAACATTAATTCATTCATTCAATATATTATTGGGCAATTTACTATAGGCATGGAATTACATCGGAGACTCAAGGGAAAATTAGAAAGCAAAAAACAAGTGTAGCAAGTTAATGGAAGTGTACACAGTTCAAGATATCACTGCTTTCAAAAAATAAAAAAGAAGTGTTACATGGAACAGAAGTAAAATTGTTTAAGTACTCAGAAGCAACTGGTTTGCTATATTCAGCATTTAAAACTCTTACTGGAGTGTTGTGTTCAGTCTAGGGCTCCAAACTACACACAGATAGGAAATCATGGAGACTTTTCACAGAAGAACCACAGACAATTAAAGGATTAAAAAGTAATGTTTATGAGAAAAGGCTACAGAAAAGGGATTAGTTAGCCTGCAAAAGAGGATAGAATGGTGGCTTAATGTTGACTTTAAAATAAGCAAGGGTTCTAAAGATACTGGCTTACTGTTCTCTCCCTCAGCTGAGAAAAGAAAAATAAGGAAATGGTTTGAAGCTACATCATCAAGTCAGACACAAGTAAAAAGTGAGGGTTGTTAGATGTTGGTATAAAGTCATGGCATTTCTTCTCAAGGAGCTTGGTCTTTAAAACTAAGATTGATTTTCGTCTACTTAAATGACTTCCCAAATCCCCTTCATCCTTCTGGTTCTTTCTCTGGAGAAAGGATTCCTTGACCTGGTTTAGCAATCCATTCCTAAGCCCAATAGCTTTCAAGGTCAGGAAGCTCTGTAGTATAATTCATCTAATATAGTTTCAGAGGTCTTAGTTCAGAGAAGGCCGGTTCCAATCTTCGGGGCTCCAGGTAAAGCTGAACATCATGGCGGAAGAGTGTGGCAGAGGGAAGCAGCTCACAGGGTGATCAAAAAGCAGAGAGAGATGAGATGTTCTATGATTTGAATCTTAGTCTAAAAGATAAAACTCATTTTTAAGCTATAGGCTTTTGTACTTACTATGATTATTGTTAAAAGGATTGCTATAGAAAATAATTAACGGGGCACTAATTGCATTCTTTATTTTTTATTTTTAATCTTTAGTTGTAGATGGACACAATATCTTTATTTATTTATTTTTACGTGGTGCTGAGGATCAAACCTAGGGCCTCACATGTGGGAGGCAAGTGCTTTACCACTGAGCTACAACCCCAGTCCAAATGCATTTTTAAGTTAATTTGCTTAGGATTATATTGTGTGTTTCTGGAGGTAATGTTGTCATCTCTTATTCTTTCTTTGGGCATGTTAACTCAGGTCTTTCAAACTCTTAAAACCTTTATTCTGTGAGGCAAGCACATGTGAAGGAGTACAAGGTGAAGGAGAGTAGATCTATACATCTCCACAGTAAAAGGAGTAGGTGGCAGAAATGGCTGTCAAAAAACCCTTGTTGAAGGAAAATTTAGAGACAGGCTTATACCATATTATTCCTACTTCCATGTTGACAAACAAAACATTTATATGTTAGCATTCTCTTTTTTTTTTGCCATACGATTTATTTTTTATTTTTTTAGTCATACATGACAGCAGAATGTATTTTGACATATAATACATACTTGGAATGTACATACGTCAATCATAATGTCTGTTCTATTCTGCTGTCCTTCCTTTCCCCCCAACTCCTCCCTATATGTTAGCATTCTCTAGCTCATGTTGTAGATGTTCTAGATGGAAGCAGTTGTCAGCTAATTCTGTCTTATTAGAAACTTAGGCAAGTAATTGAGATTTTTCTCAATTCTCTGGTTTGAAAAAATCTTTCTAGATTGCCTTATGGTGTATTCCTTTGCAAATATAACTGATATTTAAATATGATTTAAGTTAGAATGTGTCTGAAGATCGAGTTGTAACCAGAGATTTGATTCTTGTGGCATGACAGGATTCTGTGATTCTGGGATATCTTTCCTGTTTCTGATCCTTCTCTGTCCTATCATTACACATTTGGGCTTATTTCTAGCATGGGCCCTACAGTTCTCTAAAAACAGGAAGTAAGTATTCAATTGACACTTATTTTAATGTGTGCATCAGAATAAAATGAGTTTTATAAAGTTTCTTGTGCCCTGAGTTGTAAATTCTTGCTCTCAAATTTTGTTTTTCATATGTGAAGTATTTGGTACTGTGTGCCTAGAATGTAGATTTGTGGATGATTTGAGTTTGATAGTACTTTTGGTATTATATTCAAATTTTTACTTGTTAAAAATTAAAATACCTATTCCTTATTTTCATGGAGGTGATAGATTCAAGTGCCGTTTTTAGTTGTCAAACTTCATCAGAAGTGTATTAGAATTAGAAGTAAAAGAGGTGGCTGGGGCTGGGGCTCAGTGGCAGAGCTCTTGCCTAGCATGCATGGGGTGCTGGGTTCAATCCTCAGCACCACATAAGAATAAACAAATAAAATAAAGGCATTCTGTCCATCCACAACTACCAAAAAAAGTTAAAAAAAAAAAAAAGAAGTGAAAGAATGTGTTTCAGGATGTGTTATTATATTTACCTCATTACTCTTATGATAGATAATACAGTACAGTGGCTCAGCTTCTTAGCTAGTTACTTTGCCTTAGGCATTTTATTTCTTTAAGCCTTACTTTCAGCATGTAAGAAATATGAATAAGGAGAAGTGGCGTGCCGGGCGAGCGGGCGGCCAGGCGGACAGCGGCCTGTCGCTCTCAGCGGCTGGTGGGCCTAAGCGCCGTGCCTAGCATGGCGGGTTCCCTGCCTCCCTGCATGGTAGACTGTGGCACCGGGTATTGCCATCAGAGAGTCAGCAAAGGTGGTTGACCAAGCCCAAAGGAGAGTGTTGAGGGGCGTTGATGACCTTGACTTTTTCATAGGAGATGAAGCCATCCATAAGCCTACCTATGCTACAAAGTGGCCAATTCGACATGGAATCATTGAAGACTGGGATCTTATGGAAAGGTTCATGGAACAAGTGGTTTTCAAATACCTTAGAGCTGAACCTGAGGACCATTATTTTTTAATGACAGAACCTCCACTGAATACACCAGAAAATAGAGAATATCTTGCAGAAATTAGGTTTGAATCATTTAATGTACCAGGACTCTACATTGCAGTTCAGGCAGTGCTGGCATTAGCAGCCTCTTGGACATCTCGACAGGTTGGCGAGCGGACCCTGACAGGGATTGTCATTGACAGTGGAGACGGAGTCACCCATGTTATCCCAGTGGCAGAAGGGTATGTCATTGGAAGCTGCATCAAGCACGTCCCGATTGCAGGTAGAGATATTACTTATTTCTTTCAACAGCTGCTAAGGGAGCGGGAGGTGGGAATCCCTCCTGAGCAGTCACTGGAGACGGCAAAAGCCATTAAGGAGAAATACTGTTACATTTGCCCTGATATAGTCAAGGAGTTTGCTAAGTATGATGTGGATTCCCGGAAGTGGATCAAACAATACACGGGTATCAACGCAATCAATCAGAAGAAGTTTGTTATGGTTGTTGGGTATGAGAAGTTCCTGGGACCTGAAATATTCTTTCACCCAGAGTTTGCCAACCCAGACTTCATGGAGTCCATCTCAGATGTTGTTGACTCGGATGTTGTTGATGAAGTAGTACAGAACTGTCCCGTTGATGTCCGTCGCCCGCTGTATAAGAATGTCGTGTTTCAGGAGGCTCGACAATGTTCAGGGATTTTGGACGTCTGCTAAGAGCCACAGCTGAGTCGGTATGGCCCCTGGCATTTTGCCAACAGTATTGGTTGACAGGCGAGGCATTACTATCCGCCTCGGCCACTACTTTGGAGTTCTCGCGCTACTTTGGAGTTCTCCTGGGGATTCCCGGAGAGTTCCCATTGGTTGGGGAAGTGCAGGAGGGGGGATTTCCGGAGGGGATATTTCCGGTTGCTGGTTCCTGGAGGAGCCGCGTGGCAGTCGGCAGATTTCCCAGGAGCGCGTGTGAAGTGTGGTGGTAGAGTTCAGAAATAAAGTTTGTTCCTGCTTCAGTGGCTCGTGATTTGTGCCCAGCCAGACTGCGGCATTTGGCGGCCCGTTCAGGGAACGCCTGAAGCTCCGGGGTAAGTGAAATTGCTCGCCCATAAGGGAAGGCGAGAGAATGGGTGACCATTTCAGAAAACAATGTGTTCTTGTTTTGATTGGTTTTGCTTTTGTTTCAAGCTGCCTATCCCTAGAACATTCTCAGGCAAACTGGGAAAAATGGTTGGCTCAAGGTTTGAAGTTGTTCGCCCCTGAGGAAGAGATAGAAATAGACCACAAATGCACATGTCAAGAAAATAGGAAAATTGATACAATGATTTTTTGTTCCGTTTTTGTTTCATTCTGTTTCGGTTTTGTTTTGTGTTATCTTATTGGATTGCGTTATCTTTATAGTAGATTAGAAATTAGTAAAAAACAAACCGAAAGAGTGTTAAGTAAATTGTTAGAGGTTCAGACCATGGAGAAAGACATCGTAGATCAAGTAAAAGAGAAGGTCTCTCGAGCTAGTCAGATAGAGGAAGAAAATTTAAAGGAAGAAAGCTTAGAGGAGAAACAGCTATTAGGGAAAAAGCTACAACAGGAGGCTGCTACTAACACCGTTCTATCACCAGAGGCTGTAATTCAACCAACAGCTCCACCTATGGAGACAGCTGAGTGGCCCCCAACCACGTAGTTGATAGATGGGATCCTGAGATAGTACCTCAAAGATTAGCATGCCCTGTACTTGAGCAGGCAGGAGGGCAGCGAATTCACTGTGCTTTAGATTTCAAAACAGTAAAGCAGTTAAAGGAGGCTGTAACAACCTATGGTCTTCAGGCACCCTTCACTGTAAGCATGGTCGAATCCATTACCAACTTGGACATGACACCAGCAGATTGGGCTAGCATGTGTAAATCTGTGCTAAATGGAGGACAATATTTGTTATGGAAGGTTGCCAATAAGGAATTTTGCATGGAGACGGCTAGGCGAAATGCAGCAGCTGGTTACCCTCAAAGAAATCTAAATATGTTGTTAGGAAAAGGACCTTATGAGGGTCAACGGCAACAAATTGAATATGATCCTGCTATATATGCACAAATTGCTGCAGACGTAGTTAGGGCATGGAAGACTTTGCAAGGACATGGAGATTTACAAGGTCAATTATCTAAGGTAATACAGGGAGCTAATGAACCTTACGCTGAATTTGTAGGTAGGCTTATTCAAAGAGCTACCAGAGTTTTTGGGGATACAGAGCAAGCAATGCCATTAATTAAACAGCTAGCCTTTGAGCAAGCAAACAGATGGTGCAAGGAGGCCATTAGACCATGGAAACATGGAGAGTAGATCAACTCAAATCACTTAACGACTTACAAAAGTTATTAGGAGACATAAATTGGATAAGGCCTTATCTAGGCATACCAACAGGAGAGTTGGGACCTTTATTTGATATCCTAAAAGGTCCATCAGATCCAAATTCACCCCACATGTTAACGCCTGAAGCAAGAAAGGCATTAAAAATTATTGAAGCATATATGGAAAATATGCATTTGGATAGAATTGATATGTTTGCCTTTATTATTTATTGTACTACCAACAAAAAATATTCCTACTGGAGTATTTTGGCAAGAAGGTCCATTATTGTGGATACATTTATCTTATTCTTCTAACACTATTCTTACTAGGTATCCTGAGGCTGTAGGACAATTAATACTCAAAGGAATAAAAGCAGCAAAGGGAGTGTTTGGAATTTCTCCCAATAAAATTATTATTCCATATACTGTGGATCAAATTGCTGAGTTAGCTAATGAGTTAAATACTTGGGCAATAATCATGTGTAAATCTAATGTTTCATTTGATAATCACTTACCATCTAATCCTTTGTTGTCTTTTTGGTCTTTGTGTCCTGTAGTTTTTCCAAAAATGACAAGAAAAACCCCTATCATGAATGCTCCAAATGTATTCACTGATGGGTCAAATAATGGTACAGCAGCAGTAGTTACCCCTGATAAAACTTTTACATTTTTATTACCCAAACAATCAGCTCAAAAGGTAGAGCTTAATGCAGTATTACAAGCTTTTGTGATGTTTAAAGATACTGTATTTAATTTATTTTCTGAGAGTCAGTATATAGTTATTGCTATAGTATCCCTTGAAGATGCTGGTAGGATTTCCCCTTCCTCTACTGTTTTCTCTTTGTTTTCCACTATACAAAGTTTAATCTGGGACAGAAAAGATCCATTCTTTATAGGACATATCAGAGCACATACAGGATTGCCTGGAGCCCTTAGATTGGGCAATGATTTAGCAGATAAAACTACACATGACATACATATTTTCTCTGCACTAGAAGAAGCTACAAATTTTCATAAAAGGTTCCATGTCAATGCTAATACTTTACAAAAGCGTTTTAAAATAACTAAGGAACAAGCTAGACAAATAATAAAACAATGTCAAAATTGTGTGACCTTTTTACCACAAGTTAACCTTGGAGTCAATCCTAGAGGACTGATACCTAACCATATTTGACAGATGGACGTCACACACTTGCCAGAATTTGGAAAGTTAAAATATTTGCATGTTACAGTTGATACTTCTTCCGGATTTTTGATGGGCTCCCTTCATGCCGGAGAAAAAACTAAAGATATTATAGCTCATTGCTTACAAAATTTTGCCACTGTGGGCGTTCCAAAACGGTTAAAAACAGATAATGGTCCTGGCTATACCTCTACCTCTCTTAAACAATTTTGCTCATCATTTGGCATTACTCATATAACAGGAATCCCATACAATCCACAGGGACAAGGCATAGTTGAAAGAGCTCATCAAACTATTAAAATGTACTTATTAAAGCAAAAAGAGGGAATTGGAAAGGGGTATATATCCCCCAAAGATAAACTTAAAATAACCCTTTTTACTCTAAACTTTTTAAATTTGGATTCATCAGGGCTTAGTGCTGCGGAAAGGCATATGTGTCCAAAAAATGTACATAAGCCTAAGGTACTTTGGAAGGATATTCTAACAGGACAATGGAAAGGTCCTGACCCAGTGATTGTCTGGAGTCGGAGTTCTGTTTGTGTGTTTCCACAGGGAGAACAGCAGCCGATTTGGATTCAAGAGAGATTAACCAAAGTGATTTCTACAGACCAAAAAGAAGATGATTTGACTCAAATCCATAACAGCTGATATCCAGAGCTCCAGCTTGGCTATTCTTACATCTGTGACAGTGATTAACCAGGATGCTTTTTTCAATATCTATTTTATTATTGCCTTTTCCCACATCATAAAGTTCTATTTTATTTTTTGATCTCATACAGACCTAGGTTAATGTTTTTCTGATCAGTTTTATTTTTTGACTGTGGAGTTTTTAAACATTGCAATGGAGATTTCACCTGTGTAAAGCTACAAGGCTTTTACTATTGTCTTATGTGTTGTATGTTTGTGTGCACACTTGTGTTTTGTGTTGTATGTCTGTGTGTGTGTATGTCCATATATCATATATAAGGAGCGCTCATGAAAAAATGGATCCGAATTTATTTTTATTCATGTGATTTTAATGGTTTCATTTAAACTGGGTAAACAGCTGTTGAGGATTGTTTTAATATGTGAACAAATAAGGAGGTTAACAGATCTGTTTGTTTACTTTCACCTTTCCTTTTCATTATATTTAATAATTCTGTTCAGGATAATGTAAATTGTTCAGAAAATTGTTTTTTTAGTACCTGTTGGAATGTTACATAATTTTTTTTTAGCATCATTGCCAGAATTCCTATCTTCATCCCAGTGCTGGTGAAGACAAAGATAAAACCAAACTACAGCTTCTTCGATAGTTATCACAACAAACTGTATAAACTGATGCATGAATGAATAATAACTCAACAAGTAATGCTCAATCAAGGAGTCGATTTACTTTGGGAGGAAATGGACATATTCATAGATTTCTCTGCTTTGAACTGCTTGCAGAACTTGCCTGGACTATGTATCACTTGTATACATTGTGAACTATCTGTTGGTGCAGCGAATTGTGGTAATGCTGGAGTATCTTTGCTGGTGGTGTCACCGGTGGTACCATTTTTCAAAGGAGCCATCAATTGGCTTAGTGTCATGGCATTTCTGTATCCTCCTCCCTTCTGCTAGTGATGGTCTAAAATTTGGGGGCCAGCAGAGGTGAGGCAAAGAACCTCACCCCCCCAGTGGCACCAAGGCCAAATTTGGGGGTCAACAGAGGTGAGGCAAAGAACCTCACCCCCCCACTGGTACAAAGGCCTTTCCACAAGTATGGCTGTGTGCTGGACCGGTAGTCAGTGACGGGTATGATCCAATTGCAGTGGTACCAACCTAAGACAGGAGGCTGACGCCTAGAGGTCAGCTCATCCGATGACGGGTAAGGACCATATGTTGTATTGGACAACCTAACAGGCACGGTCCCTAAGCCACATTGCTTGTTGTTTAATTAAACAGAGGGGGCGAGATGCTGAGAGCCACAGCCGAGTTGGTATGGCCCCTGGCATTTTGCCAACAGTGTTGGTTGACAGGCGAGGCATTACTATCTGCCTCAGCTGCGACTTTGGAGTTCTTGCATTACTTTGGAGTTCTCGTGGGGATTCCCGGGGATTCCCGGAGTGTTCCCATTGGTTGGGGAAGTGCAGGAGGAGGGATTTCTGGAGGGGATATTTCCAGTTGCTGGTTCATGGAGGAGTTGCTTGGCGGTCGATTTCCCAGGAGCGTGTGTGAAGTGTGGTGGTAGAGTTCAGAAATAAAGTTTGTTCCTGCTTTAGTGGCTCGTGATTTGTGCCCAGCCAGACTGTGGCAGACGTCGACTGCAGAGAGATTTAAAAAGAGTGGTGGATGCCAGATTAAAATTTAGCGAAGAGCTCAGCGGCAGCAGAATAAAGCTCAAGCCTATGGAGATGCAGGTGATAACACATCACATGCAGCGCTACGCCGTGTGGTTTGGAGGCTGGATGCTGGCCTCCACGCCCGATTTCTTTCAGGTCTGTCACACCAAGAAGGACTATGAGGAGTACGGCCCCAGCATCTGCCGCCACAACCCCGTCTTCGGAGTCATGTCTAGGTGTCTGCCTTGAAGTCGCATTCCATAGTGTCATGTTGGGAACGAGTGTCCTCAGAGCCCAGAGAAGACTGCAGCTCCTGTACAGGCGACGCTTGGTATGGGGTCCCGCCGCGAGCTGGCAGTGCCCATTGTACGAGGCACCGTGCCATCTTCACGAAGCTATTCTTGACGTGCTGGCAGCGATCTGCCCTTCTGCCTCTCTCCCTCTCTGCCCCCCCCCCATCTGAGCTTCTAGTCAACAAATACAATTCTGAAGGAATTCAAATGCAACTTTAAAAATTATTAGAGAAAAAAATGGTGTGAAATAGTCCCCCCCTGGAAATATCGTGGGGACGTAAACACTGATCCTCCCAGCTTATTTTTTTAAATAAAACTTTATAAACTTGAAATACAAATCGATGTTTATATTTCCTATCATTTTGTATTTTATGGTATTTGGTACAACTGGCTGGTACTAAGCACGAGTAGATATTGATGTCATGGAGTGCTGTAATAAAGTTTTTAATTATGGGGCATGTTCCGATATGTTTATAGGCAAACAGAATAAAGGGAAGACTTTTTGCCACATGTTTAGTAGAAAATGATACACTTTCCTGGGGTGATGTGAAGTCTGAACACTAAACAGTGTTGTGTGAGAGTCATCATGGGTACTGTGTCTGTTAGTTGTTTTGTTTGAGCTTTCTGGAATTGTTTTATAGAAGATGATGGTTCGATGTTGGTGAGTGTTGGATGAAATGCTACCTTGCACCTTGTAATAAAAGCTGTTAGAATCTTTATAAATAAAAAATATGAATAATAATAAGTACTTTGCATGATTATAAATTTAAATAAGATGATAAATGCAAAATAATTTTTGCCATATTTGGTTTATAGCTGCCCCAAAATGATAACCTGTAAGATGATGTAGGGTGAGGGGAAGATCACTTTAGTAGATGATGTAGGGTGAGGGGAAGATCACTTTAGTAGTTAGCAATTGTTGATAGTGTAAAATATATATTTTGTATGCTCAGTGTGCATTGTATTTTAATAAAATAGAGTGCTTATTGCTGTGCATATACTTATTGGAAGTTAGGCTCATATTCCTTTTGCTTTTAGAACTATTAGAAAATACCTGTTTGGGGGACAGTGTTTTTAGATGTTATAAAATTCAGGAATATAAATTTTGGTCAGATAGTAGAGCATTGGTGGTGGTTAAGAATAAAAACTTTCAAATCAAACTTTGAATTTTTATTTTAGTACCAATACTTGCTGCCTTGTACTTTTTCTTGTCTCTGATGCTTAATTTTAAATTGTTTCTGAAATGAGAATAATGAAAAATCCTGTCTTCTACTTTGGAAGAGTTGAATGAGATAATCCATTTAAAGTATTTAGCATAGTGTCTAACAGGTAACAGCTGATCAACAGCTCTTAGTTATTGTTATTAATAATGATAAATAGGAGAATGGGTTAGTAGAGGGTAGGTATTTAGGTGCTAGAGAATATTGTTTGAAGCATTGTTATCAATAGTAATAAATGGGAGCCAATAGCAATTTTAAGTGTTCTAGCCTTGTAGTAATAAGAAACTGGTGATATTCATTATAATAACTTTAAAATTAATCCAGTATATCTAAAACATTCTCATTTCAACATGGTAATCAGTATCTTTTATTTATCTTTCTTGTACTGAGATTGAATTTAGGGGAGTTCTACAGTTCAGTTGTATGCCAGATTAAACAAAACAAAACAAAACAAAAAACCCAACTTTTATTGTGAGACAGGGTCTTTCTAAGTTTCTGAGGTTAACCTTGTGTTTGTGATTGTCTTGCTTCAGCCTTCCAATAGGCTAGGTTTCTAGGCATTCCTACTGTTTGTGGTGAAGATTTGGTTTTCATTCAGCCTCTTTCATTAAGTTGTGTATTTAGAATTTAGAATTTTACTTTGAAAAGTGTATATTTAGAATTAGCTAGCTGGATTCCAGTTTTGTTGGCAGCATCCAATGTGTCAGTCAGGAGCTGGTGGAACATGCTTTTTTCTCACATTTAGACCAGACAAAGGTGTTGACATTGGCCATGTTAATGTTAGAGTTTTTTCTTAGCCTGTTTTATGTGATGGTCGATGGCCTTGACATCCGCAATGAAACAAGTGTGGTGTTGTCTTCTGTCTTCTTCATAGCTGACTCAGTGGTCAGGGGAAAATTGATTGTGGCATAGTAGTCCATAGTGCCTATGGGGAACTCTTTCAAGGTCTGCCTCTGTAGCTCCGGTATCTTGGACCACCAGAAGGAAGGTTGATATGTGATCTTTTTTCTTGTGGCTGTAGATACCTTTTAGCCTGGCTGGCTGGCTGGCTAGCTTGCTTGCTTGCTTGCTTCCTTCCTTCCTTGCTCCTTCCTTCCCTCCTTCTCTCTTTCCTTCCCTCCCTCCATCCTTCTTTTCCTCCCTCCTTCCCTTGGATTGAACTCTGAGACAATCAAAACTGCAGAACCACATCCAAAGCCCTGTTTTGTATTTTATTTAGAAATAGTGTCTCAAGAGTTGTTTAGCACTTCACTTTTGCTGAAGCTGGCTTTGAACTCATGATCCTCCTGCCTCGGCTTCCCCAGCTGCTAGGATTATAGGCATGTTCAGCCACACCTGGGCCCAGCCTGGCTTTCTTGGTCTTCAAAGTCTTTACTTTGACTTTGGCTTTGGGGGTTTCCTTCTTTGCTTACTGTGCCTTCTTGATGAATAGAGCTATTTAACTTTTTATATTTGTATCTTGTGTTTAAAATCTTGGTTCCTAACGATAATAACATTATATTTCATAAATGTTTTGAAATAATACCAGTCTTATTAGTAATAAGACCTAACAAGTGGAACTTAACATTCTGTGTTATATGTATTTATATTCTTCTGATGTCTATTCCTCTAGGAATGTAAGGTCAATATTTATTTCAAATAAATATTGAAATGATATTTCTCATTGTACTTATACCACCACCTTAGTAAAATAGGACATATATGAAATTTTGGTTTTTACTTTTAATTTTTTTTCTTTCTTTCTCGCAGTACTAGGAGTTGAATTGAGAACCTTACATGTGCTAGGCTAGCACTCTACCACTGAATTATATCCCCAGTGCCAGTTTAAAATTATTTTTATTGTTTGGTTAATCACAATAGTGGAATTCATTATGCCATATTGGTTTTTAGTGTTTTTATATAAAGTATTTACATGATTTCAAAATGGTTAGGTTATTTTAAAAAATAATATTATCATCTTATTCTGTCAGTAACTAAAAAAAAAATAAAGTTTTATTTTACCATATTTTAGGATTTTAAATGTTTTACTGGGTTTTGAACATACAGCATGTCATTTACAGTGCAGATGGTCTATCATTATATAAAAGTTGAGATTGTAGTATTTGCAGATAATGAATTTTTTATAATCCCTTTTCATTAGTTAATAAAATGTTTTTTTTTAAATTGTAGATGGAAACAATACCTTTATTTTATTTTTTATATGGGGCGGAGGCTCAAACCCATTGTCTCACACATGCTTGGCAAACATGCTACCACTGAGCCACAACCCCAGCCCCTAATAAGATATTTTGCAGGTTAATATTACTGAAATTATGACATAGAGTTAAACTTTCAGATTATGTTGCTCAAATTTGCCAGAGTAGGAATTTATCTGTGGAGGAGAAAGGAATCTTTTCCTAAAAGTCGGTTGTATGCTACAATAATCTCCCATATCTGCAGTTTCAATTTCCATGGTTTCAGATAGCTGCAGTCAACCCTCATCTGAAATTCCTAGGTTCAGGAATTGAACCTAGGGGTGCTTTACCTCTCAGCTATATCCCCAACCCTTTTTTATATTTTATTTAGAGACAAGGTCTTGCTGAATTCCTTAGGGCCTTGCTAAGTTGCTGAGGCTGGCTTTGAACTTGCAATCCTCCTGCTATATCCTTAAATAACATTAAAGCATATTGTCATAATTGCTGTCTTTTATTATTAGTTATTATTATCTCTTACTGTGCCTAATTAAAAATATTTATATATATATATATATTTAGTACTGGTGATTAAACTGAGGGTCATGTGCCACTGTCCAGCTTCATCTGAAAATATTAAGTGGAAAGTTTCACTTAATTCATAAGTTTTAAATAACATTACAGCATATTGTCATAATTGCTGTCTTTTATTATTAGTTATTATTATCTTACTGTGCCTAATTTAAAAAAATATATATTTATATATGTTTTTAATACTGGTGATTAAACTGAGGGGCATTTAACAACTGAGCTATATCCCTAGTCCTTTTTATTTTTTATTTTGCGACAGTCTCACTAAATTGCTGGGGGTCTTGGTAAGTTGCTCAGGCAATTTCAAATACCCCAGTTGCTTGTTTATACGTATGCTCTACCACATCTGATTCTAAGTTTTATAAATTAAACTATATTGTAGGTTGAGGAAATGACAGTATATATACGGTTTGATATTACTGAGAGTTCCATGCATTGAACCAAAGTTTTGAAATGTATCACCCAAGCATAAGAATTGTGCCAACTGATTGGCACGATTGTTAATGCTTCTTAGGAATCATTTGGACAGACCTTTAACAATGTGTTAAAAATGATTTTTTTTCTAACAGTATAAAAAATTTTTAATTTCTATTTTGTGGACATATTTGATTATTTCAGTTGTTTATTATTTGCTGTTGTGAGACTGAGTGCAATATTACTAGATATTACTAACGCCTAATGCCTGCCACAAGATGAGCGATCAATAAAATTGAGTTCTGATCTTTGTGGATCCTAGATGTGCTGCTCTTTAGGTTTTGGAAGAGGGTAGTATAGTTATACAAGTATATTGTGGAATCTTGGAAGAGTTATGTGTTCTTTTCAGTGTACAACCTTCCCTTGGAGCTTTCTTCCTATTTACTTCTACTTCACCTTTTCTCTTTTGTAAGTTATGTCCAGAAGGCTCATTTGCAGTTATCTGCACACCACTTTGGTGTCTGCTTTGTATTTGTTCTGTTTCTGTTACCTAAAAATAGATTAGAAATTTATCCTGTTAATCATAATCTGAAAAGTGAATCTTCAAGTTTTATGTTATGTCCTGGATGAGTCCACTTTGCCCAATCTTAAATTGGGTCATATTATGATAAAAATTATTGGTGCATTTTCCATGTCACTGTAGAAATAATTTATGGAAAACATGGAATTTCCAAGAGCCTTTTTAAGTTTATAAATCAGTAACATTGAAATTGAACATTTTAAACTGGAACTGTTCCCAGAATATTCAGAATATAACATTTTTATAGGCACATGCAACACTTCAAAAAAGCAGATTGTTGGGGAGCATGATCAGGATGACAGCAAAATTATATCAAATGTAATTTATAATGAAATAAGGAAGTAGCTTATATTAGAGGGTATATTCATATTGTTTAAGTTTAATGTTTTGAATGAGTAAAACATATGGCAGAAACCTTATAAAAATACATATACAAGGAATATATGTATTTTTGTATAGGAATATATATATTTCATC